TAGTCTGTTGTCACCCTTAAAGTAGTTGTAGACCTGATTGTTTCTGAGAGGATTTCTGATGAGATCCAGGAGATGGGACTCTTCCATCTCCCATGGCAGGTGCCTTTCAGACTCCAGGTAACATTGTAGGTGTGTTCCCCTGCCCCCAAGCCACTAGTCTGAGTTTGTTCAGGATTATTTCCCCATACTCTTCAGGATGGGGACCCTAGTAGGTTAAGGGGAGGGGCCTTCAGAGTTCAGGGTTTGGGTCTGCCATAAACCAGGAGGGTGTTTATGGCTTTCTGGTGAGGGGGAAGTGCCAGTCTCTTTCCCAGCAGAGTGTATGGTATGACTATGCCCTACAACCAGTCTCTGATAACCCCTGAGCCTGCATATGTTGCTGACAACTCAGCAGGGGTTAAGATGCAGGATGGGAGAAAAGAAAGAACAAAAAATCTCACACAAAACAAACAAGCCAAATAAAAGTAAAAATGTTGCAGGGTAGAGCAAGCAGTATTGTAGTGGGAGGATGGGGCAAGGGATATCTCACAGTGTAAGATAATTGCTTTTCCCCTGGATGAGGGGTGGGGGGGAGCTTGCTCTTCTCAAGCAAGATGGCTATCGCAGAATCCAGGTATATACTGGCACTGAAATCTTCAGAGACACTCCCCCACATTGCACCCCAGTGCTGCCCACTCTAGACTCTCCTCGTGTGACTTAAGTCTGTATCACCCTCCCTTTGCTGGGGCTCCAGGTAAGTGGTTGCAAACACAAAACCTGTGCTTTGGCCCTTTTCAGAATTTTTTAAAAGGGTTCATAACATGTTTAATGATTTTTTACCCTCTGGCATTAGTTGAGATTTTCATTTGCACTTTTTAAAATTTTTATTTTAATTGTTGTTCAAGTACAGTTTTCTGCCCTTTAAGAATTTAAAAAAAAATAGTGGCTTTGTCTCTAGCAGGCTCTACCTCTCCCCAGCAAAAAAAAAAAACACCATGGTTTTTCAGCGTGGGATGCTTCATGGTCAGCTGATCCTCGCACTGGTGTTCTGTGCTTGGGGGCCCCACTTGTGGCCTCAGCTTCTCTTCTCTCAAGTGGAAGCTCCCACAGTCATGCTGCTGTCTCAGGACTGTCTGTGTGAATAGAGCTGGCATCTTAAATGACCCCACCCTTCCTATTGATCTAAGATAGCTAAAATATTTTTTAGATGGTCTTCCATTTATTTTCGGTGACTGCTCCCCTCTTAGTTTTATTTCTACTTAGGTTCTGGGAGGAGGTACGTGACCTATCCTACTCTGCTGCCATCTTGCCCTGATAACCCTTTCTTTTCTTAAAGAGAAAGGTTTAAAGAATGAGGGCTTTGGCCCTGGCCAGGTAGCTCAGGTGGTTAAAGTGTTATTCCCCTGATACGCCAATGTTTCAGGTTCAATCCCTGGCCTGGTACACACAAAAATCAACCAATGAATGCATAATTTATCAATAAGTGGAACAATATCTATGTCTCTCTCCCTTTCACTCTTTCTCTCAAATAAATAAATTAAGATAATAGAATTAGGACCTGGCTGCTGTGGCTCAGTGGATTGAGTGCTGGCCCACAACCAAAGGCTCGCTGTTGTTCTCATTGGGTGTTTTTTGATCCCTTATATTCTAAATCTATAATTTGATTCTTGGCTCCATTCCCTCTAATGTTGATTCCCTGTAAATTGTTCTTCATTTCAGTTAGTATATCCTTCATTTATGACTGAATGTTTTTATGATTTTTATGATTTTTTAATGCTATTGAGGTTCTCACTAAGTTCACTTAGCACCCTTATAACCAGTGTTTTGAACTCTGCATCTAGGAGACTGCTTGTTTCCATTTTGTTTAGTTCACCCTCTGGAGTTTTGCTTCATTCCTTCATTCGGGCTACGCTTCTTTGTTTCTTCATTTTGGCAGCCTCCCTGTGTTTGTTTCCACATGTAAGGTAGAGCTGCTATGACTCTCTGGCTTGGTAGAGTGGCCTAATGTAATAACTGTCCTGTAGGGTCCAGTGGCACAGCCTCCCCTATCACCCAAGCTGGGCACTCAAGGTGCACCCACCCTGTGGACTGTGTCTATCCTACTCTTGCAGCCAAGCATTGATTGTTGTTGGCCAGTCAATGGCAAAGATTTACTCAGGCTGATCAGCTGAAAGTATTGGCAATGACCATTGACCACCAATGTCCAAACACCATGGAGTATTGGCTGTGCAGGGGCTCACTCCACAGAGCAGTACTTACTTCAGCAGAGCTCTGGTGCCCACTTAGTCTGCCTCTTGAGTGTGTTGTTTATGGAGGTGGTTGGGTGGTGGTGTTCTGACGTAATCCGTAGCTGTTCACTGGGTGTCCAGGCTCTGGGGAGGTCCCATTATTAACACAGGAGGTGGCAGGCCAAGGTCAGCCACCCCTTGTGTTCTGCCTGGGCCACCCAAATAAGCTACAAAGCAATCCGTGTTTGGCTGGGTTTTGTGGTGCCCGAGTGAATTTGAACTGTAAACCAAGGCCAGCTATTGCTAGTGCTGAGCCTGGGGCCACTTAGCAATAGGGACAGGGAAGCTGATGCCAAATGTTGTTTGTTTGAGAAAATTTAGGAAGATGTGAATTACGAGCCAAGACAAACTATTTATATGGAAACGCCACTGGAAACAGATTGGGTGGGTGGAACCTCAGGGAATCATTAGGGTGGAGCAAACAGTGTGAGCCAGGTTGATGTCTCAGTTATGGCATGCACCTGCCCACTCTGTCATTCTGTGGAGGGGGCCTCAGAAAAGAAACAATGGCCTCTGCCAGTTCTTCTGTCTGGGATAAAGCTGCCTCTCAAATCTCACCCTGATGCTGGACAATTTAGTTTCTTCTTGTATGTTTCTGATGCCTTTCAAGCTGCTGTTCCTGTGCTGGAGCTCAAAGGCAGTGGGTCCAAGTAAGTCTGTGTGGGGGCCCTTTCAGAGGAACTGCCTGAGACTCTAGCAGTTTGTCTCCCATGGCCTTAATCCCCACAGGTTTTTACAAGCAGAGGTTATCACTTATCTTCCTGGCACCTGAATCTTGGGTTGGGGGGCCTGGTATAGGGCTGGGACCCCCTAGCTCCTGTGAAATCCCTCCTGATTTTTGTCCACCACACATGGGTGTGGGACCATCTTGTTCCACATCCTACCCCTCCCACCAGTCTGAATATAGTTTCTTCTTTAATTCTGCATTTGTAGAACTTCCATTCAGCTTGATTTTTGACAGTTCTGAATGATTATTGTTCTGTAGTTTAGTTGTAATTTTGATGTGGTTGTAAAAGGAGGTGAGCCATATTCACCTATCCCACTATCTCGAACCTCTCTTCAATACATACAGTTTTGTTTGTCAAGTATACCTCAATAAATCCAGGATTAAAAAAGAGACCATTCTGGAAATATTCATGAACATATGTTAACATTTTATCAAAGGGTATGTCACAGCTCAGGCTGGTGTGGCTCAGTTGGCTGAAGTATTGTTCGATAAACTGAAACATTGCAGATTTGGCTTCCAGTCAGGGAACATGTCTGGGTTGCAGGTTTGGTCATTAGTAGGGGCACATGCCAAAGGCAATTGATTGATGTTTTGTCCCCCCCCAGTCCCCTCTCCTTCTCTAAAATCAATGAGTATGTCCTTGGGTGAGGATTGTTTTAAAAAGGTGTAACACAGTTGACCTGCCCTAAACTCAAGATTAAGAGAAGCACTCCACTGTACTAATTCCTACATCTCTGTAGCAAGAAGAGAAAAATGAAATTATTTTCATTTCCCTGAAATGATTTGGCTGAATCACTGAAGTAAAGAAAAACTGTCGCAGTTAGAATTATCTCAGGTAATTTAAATGAAAGTAGAGATGCCCGCCGCAACTCTTACATTGAAATTACTCAAGTCAATGCCTCAATCTTCTAGTGTTTTAAAAATTCAGTTACAGAATTAAAGAGAAAACATTTATTCCATGCCTTCTACTTCCTGGACAGACCATAGCCAAAATGTTTCAAAAAAATGAGAACCTATTCTAGTTCTTAAGACATCAAGAGGACACTTCCCACTGGGCTATGAGTCAGGCAGAAAAATAGCAAAGACAGAAAGCTAGTTTTCTGCCTTTAAAATAACAGTTTTAGATGAGCCAATCCTTTTTAAAGATGCTATAACTTTATAATCTTGTATAGGCTAAAAGTTACATCATTATAGTCTATCAAAATGATTTCAGGTGCTGTATTTGAAGCAAAGTCTGATAATTTGTTAAATAATTATCCTCAAGGATGAAAATAGTCCACATGGCAAAAAAAAAAAATCTGTTTTCCCTGCTGTGATTTCAACTGCCTAAAGTTCCAACTGTCCAAAAATAGAGAGAGGAGAGAAGATGGCTAAACCTGAGACAGATTGAATCAATGTAATAAGATTATGTGGTGTGGATATACTTGAGTCCATAATTTAAAAGTCACCACCATGTATGTTCAATTCAGTTGATGCTGATCTTTAAAGTCCAATATGTGGAAACAAGAAAACAGAATATCTAACAGAATTATCCTTTGTTTTCTGATTTATTTTGCATATATTTTCATATTTCCTAAGATATAGGCAATATTCCAGTCAGTGAAATAAAATAAATATGTATATTCTGTGATGTTTTAATATTTGTTTTAAGTTATCATGAAGACATAGAGTGTCAAGACCCAATTTCCAGTCCAAATACTCTTCATACATTAAAAAGTGGCATAAAGGAAAAAGAACCTCCCCACCTTAATTTTTTGAGTTTGTGTCCCAATCAGTAGGAGAATATTTGTCTGATCATTAGGTAGTGGCTGCTTGGAGTACCATGTGAAAAAATGATCTAAAGGCTACATGCAATACAGCTGGAAAGAGTGACTTGATTGATAACTACTGTCTGCCATATCCACCAATTGCTCAAAGAAAAAAAAAAGAAAGAAAGGGAGAGAAGCACAAGCATTGTGTACTGGTTATTCAAAAAGCAGTTTTTATTTACTTTAACACAGATGCCTTTTTACAGTTGGAACAAAATATCTGATACACGATTTTGAGTTTTTAGCAGCACCTGCAACAAGAGGATTGTGGAATACCTCAGGGTAAAGTAGAGATGGCTGAGGCTAGCACAAATTGACCTGAAATTGAACAATCCACTGAAGTCATATGGAATCTGAGGCCCCCTGAATATAATACATGAAAATAAACAGAATAAATATTCTGTATGACATTCAAATGGACCATTGAAAAACAGTATAGTTTCAATTAGAAATAGTTTATTCAAAAAATCTAGTGTTTATGAAAATCTACCAAAAATACTGCACTGCACATTCTAGGGTACACAATTTCTAAGCCTATATGCACAGTTCCTGCAATTCACAGATTTCAGCCTTTGGTGTTTTTTACTCTCACTCAAATTACACATCACCAAAATGCCACTGTTGATTTTTTTATCACTTTATGTCAAGTGCTTTCATCAAGATATTCTGTAGTGATTTGGCAGGGAAAATTGTCATAGCGAAGAGGAAAGAGGACTCAGCTGACTTGCCAATAAAACTAACACTTCTTTTGGATGCACAGGAGGCATATGAATGGGATATCTACCTATTTTTTTTTTACTTAAATGGCCATATTCTATTTTGATGGAGACAAGTACTATTCTGAGTGAATGGAGGTCTTTATGAAGGCCTGAGATATACAAATAGAAAATATTATAAGCAGAATGCAAGTAGAAAGAGAAGGCCCCAGGTCTCATGCACTTTAAAACAATTAACATTTAATAGTTCTGATGTACATAATTTCACCCTAACACAACTGTAGCAAAATGATCATAGAATTTTGAAACCAGTGTTTATAGGCATAGGCAGGATAGGGATCAATACTTATGAGCTTTGGAGTCCCAGTTCTGTCTTTGATTTCTGGCATAAAAGTTAGCTGGACAGTAGGGTCGGGACTATATTTAAATTGGAAATATTGAGTATGACTGGGTTGAAATACCATCTTCAACTTGGCTGTATGACCAAAAAATCTCAGAGCTTTTAAAACACCCAAGGTTCAATGTGTAAGGCTGATTCCATATGTGGCTATAATGGAGAGTTCTAGGCTATATTTTTGTGAGAGCTCCTATAACCCTCAACCCTGGCCCAAGTCTCTTTTGGCGGTCATTTATAACTGTCCCTCACCAACCTGGGTCACTATTTTTATCAATGTTTTAAAAGTATAGCTGAAATCTATGTAGGACAAACAGGTCAGCCAACAGGAACTAGACTGCATATAGATAGCTGGTAGTCATAGTAATAAAATTTTGAGAAACCACTTTTGTATTTTAATATGGTATCTTTAGGATGTTTATATCAGGGCACACAATGTTTACCTTGATCTCAAGATTTTTCCTGCCACAGTATGAAAGCAAAAGACAGAGTTATGTACTTGCTGTTAAATGTTGATCCCAGAATAGTTTTTGAGCATTTTAAAAGTCCCTCTCTGTAGTCTTAGCTATTGTCTTAAAATACTTATAACTATAACATGGCACTGAAACATAGTATGTAGCTTACAGATTCTTAGAACTTAGAGCTGGAAGGGACTTCAAACCAAATATCCAGCCAGTATAGAAATTATTTTTATGGCATTTTAACAGATGGCCATACAGCATCTACTTCAATATTTTTACTAGAAGGGAGTTCACTATTAAGGCAATCCATTCCACTGTTGGACAACTCTAATTATGAAAAATTCATTTGAACAATGGGTTAAAGTCTGCTCTCTGGTCACTTTCTTCTATAATAAATATTGGAGTTAAGGAACCTTGTGAGAAAAGCCCATTATCCCCCAATATTTTCTGAAGGCTTATCTGAGAGCACAGCATGGTGGACCAAAGTATCATCGAAATTATGAGCAAAGAGCACTGCATTCAAAATCATATACTAAGCAGCATTGCTAAATTGATAAGAGGTTGTCAGAGAAGCAACATTCTTATGCAGCAAAAAAGTAGACTCATGAAGTAAAAAGCAAACCAACCGTTTATTTGCAAGAGTGGTTGGCATATTTAAACATAATCCATTTTATAGTACCCTGTTACTTCAAATGCAAGAAATATAATCAAGTTCCAGTGTCATCAGTGCATCTCTTATTGAGATGGTATTTTTTGAAAAGCTCAGATGGAAGGAAAGCATACATAAGGATTTAAACAAGGCAGTATACATCATTATATTGTTGCACTCCTAATCATTATAACCTTTTATAATTCAAGCTTAGGACATCTTTGTTTGCATTATTATATTTATTGTAATACAGCTCAGAGTATTATTTTTCTCCTTTGGCAGACATGTTAGAAATTGATTGGCAATAGTCAGTGGTGACATTGTTAGTTGATTAATGGAACACTTATAGGAATAGCTGTAGCTCTTTAAATCCTTCATGCAACTGGGTTCTAAGTTTAGACTGTGACTTGAAAAATATTTAAATTTCTAAGGACTAAAGCTTTTTGAAATGTCCTGATGCACACAAGAAGGGAATAGCAGAAATCACGCAAAATACACTTGGCTTAATAGACGCTTTAAAAAAATTGCTCTACAACTTCCATTTGAAAGACTCTAAATAACAATTACAACTTTATCTCTTACCCTTTCTTTTGTGTGTGCACTTTTAAAGAGGCACAGTTATTCTTACATTACTGACTTACCAATTTGAGGTATGCTTTTAAAAGGCTTCTTACTTTTAACAGCATGAAGATCCTGCTTTGGAGCCACTGTTCAAGTCAATAGTGTGACCTAACATGCAATGCTCCAACTGTTCCTCTACAGCCAACACCTGCCTGACAGCTTCTTCAAAGGCCACTGTTACATTAGTATCATCTTTGGCACTTGTTTCTAAATAAGGGTAATCACCATTCTCCATGCACCAGGCTTGTGCCTCCTCAGTAGTCACTTGCCTATCCTCTTTGTCTACCTTGTTACCCAGAACTACAAAGGGGAAGTGCTCAGGGTCTTTCACATCTGCATAGTAGATGAATTCTTTCTGCCAGTTACCAAGGTTCTCAAAGCTCTGTCGGTCATCCACGCTGAAGGTCAAGAGGCAGCAGTCTGCTCCCCTGTAGAAGGGTGTCCTAAGGCTCTTGAAGCGTTCCTGCCCTGCAGTGTCCCAAATCTGAAGAGTTACAAAACGTCCATCTACCTCCAGATCTCGATTTAAGAACTCTACCCCTATGGTGTGAAAAGCCTGGGAGTCAAATTTATTGGTTACATAACGGTTCATAAGTGAGCTTTTCCCAACTCCACCATCACCCAAGAGAATGACCTTTAAGAGCAGGGATTTACCACTCATTGTTGCAGCACCAAATAAGAAGGAGTTTATAACCAAGAGAACCTGAAAATAAAAAGTAGGAGGGAAACAGTTAAACTTGAAATGGAAATCAACTTCATAATAAAAGTATCTAAATTATGAGGCTTTCTAATTTAGCTTTTCTTGATTCATGCTCATTAACTGATGTAGTACAGCAGAAGGAATAAACCTCTTTTTGAATGAGGAGAAAAATAGGTCTTGTTTTTCCGAGAGCTCTTTCTTGTGCCAGGAAAATCACTGAATGCCATGGGTAAGCAGACCAGCAGATGGTGCTGCAACCGGCAATTGGTTCAGCTCTAACACTATTCTCTCTCAGAAGAGAGAGTCTAGAATAGGGATGCCACTCAAATGTGTTAACCATATTAGCTTCTACTTTGAACAGTTCCAAACAAGAGGCAACTACTATGAATCTGATTCAGGGTTTGAAGTTTGTTCCCAGTGGACCCAAGCATTATTGAGGAGAAAAGGCTGCATAAGCTTGAAGTCTGTCAGTAGAGGTTTGGGCTAGAATTAGACCAAACTTGAAAGATGGAAAAAGGTCAAGTTTCTTCTGGCATTTGCCCCATTTTACTTGCATTGATATGGGTACTCTCGCAAGTAAAAGATCTTCCATAAGCTTTTCTTTATAGAACAGTATCAATTAAATTGATGACAGTTGGCTGGTTACCAATATAACAGCTATCATTCAGGAGGAATATATTGAATAGCTTATTAATTTTTAGATTTGGGTTCTATCCCATACCAACACTAAAAAATAATGTAAACTCTCAAATGCTAATAATTATACTGAATCCTTTTGTTATCTCCATAACACGTCTATACATGAAATACCTAGAATGCATTTTAAAATAAAAAGATCAAATATTTACTGACCAACTACCTTGTACAAGATTTTGGTAGATACTTTCACACTAGCTCCATTATGGGAGCTCAACAATGATGATGTTAGTTGAGTATTATTTTTTCAACAGGCCCAAAGAGATGAAAACTAATCAGTAAAAAAAAAAAAAAAGCACGTGCAAAAGAGTCTGGAGGCACATACATTTGAAATGTAATTTTTTAAAAACCTCAGTAGTCCTTAAAATTATGTTGGTGTGCATATGTGCTAACAATATATTTTTCCAAACACTCATTTTTAGGAGCTCTGATGAAAAAAGTATAAAATACATCTAGCCAGGTAAGTATGAAATATAAACCTACCCAGTTGGGTCTTTGTCACAATCTTGCCTTTTCTTGTTATTTTTCTTTTTTGGGATTCTAAAAAACAAGTTGGGAAACATTATTTTTTTAAATCTATAATAAAATAAAGAATATATATATTAAAAAACAAACTGAAGTCAGGAAAAACACAGACCAACCTCCAACTTACCTACAGGGAATGATTTTCATAAACATACTTAAAAGTTTAAAATGCTATAAATGCTTAACATGAACAAAATAATTTTATTGCAAGAACTTTAACTTGCCTTAACTTGAATGTACTTTATATGAATTTAAAGTTTTACACTGTCTCTCCATTGAACTCTCAATTCAAAGTAAATTGAACTCTTAATTCAAAGAAAGTGGGTGATATTCATAGTAGAAGATATTCAGGGAAGGGAAAGCACAGAGGAGTCTAAGATATGTTGAGATTCTATGTCAGAGGTGAAACTCCTTCCCTTCAAACCTACCAATGGTCCTATCTGCATGAACTTCCTAGTGCACTCACAAATCTAGCTTGAGTTTGTCTCTGCATTTGATCCCACAAGATCAGTGAAGAAAAAACTATGTTTGGGGATTCCCTGTTTACAATATATTCTCTTGGCTAATTATTTTACTGATTAACTTTGATCACCTGTCTTTAAAATAAGTTTTAGTATTTAGTTGGTTTTATTAAATTCAAACACAACTTTATCTAACATTTTAGTTACTTATGGCAAGAGTCTTATTTAACCAGCATAAAGGATGCTGGTCTAAAAAGCAAAACTGTCCCTAGATTTACTGAGTCTTCTTCCTTAATGAGAAATAAAGAAGCTTTTAAGAAATCTCTTCTGTTTAATAATCTCATCAATTTTTTCAAATATAGGTAAAGCGTATAATAAGGGATTTATTATTAGAGGTAAATTAGTAAATATAAATTTAAGTAATGTTTTTAAATTGATAGGCTTTACCTTCCTTCTTGGTTTTATCTAAAGAATTCTCACATTTTCCACAATTTGTGATTTTTGTCCTCTTTTTTCTATGCTCTCAAACTGCTGTCTTTGGCACCAGCCCAAGTAATAAACATTTCTTTAAATTGCAATGAAACAAGTGTTAGCACACCTCTTTATTTTTAATGCTGGTCTGTAGGATAATTTTATAGAGCCAAACTCTTGAACTCTCACTTTTAAAAAGTAACAGAAGGAAGTGCAAACTTGGGCACAAAAATGACTGTATTAAGGGCCCATGCCAACTAAGTTCCTTAAGTTTCTAGTGAACAGGTGTTCACATCATTCAACGACTCACTAACTCTGCTCTCCCAGTTGCAGATACATCAAATGACAGGCCAAGGACTGAGTCCATATGGAAACCAAATGCTCAGCTCCAGGAATAATAATAAAGTATTACCTATCTGAGGTAGTGCTGCAGTTGCTTCTACATTCCCTATTTGGTCATGTGCACACATACTTCTGGGTACATAGGCTCTATGCCACAGAAAAGGGAGGAAAAGCAATGTGGTTCAGTGTCAAGTGCACTGGCTGGTAGCGACCAGGAGATAAGAGTCTTCATCTCTGCTTTCCCATTCATTTTTTTATGAGCTTGGACAGGTCACTTATGGTAATCGTACTCTGTTTCAATATCTTCCTATATAAAAATAGAGCAGATAATACATGCCATACTTAACTCATAGGATTTGGGGGGAAATGAATAACTTATGAGGTCTGCAAAGATTTGTAAGCATTAATTGAAATTTTGGGTTTGAGGTTTTTGTTCCTCTTGCTCCTCCACCTCCTTTCATTCACTGATGAGAGCACCTAATGACTCAGTATTAACCCTTCTCAGAAAGGGCCGTTCAGTGAGAAGAAAACAATTATTTCTTTTCTCTGTCTTCTATATTTGACAATGCCTTGTTTCCCAAAATTCTGAGCATTTTCATATACTACAGGATCTCAGTGTTGGAGGGACCTTAAGGGTCTTCTGGTCCAATCCTGCTACTGATACCTGAGAAAACATTTGACTACCTATTGTGTGCTGTGTCCTTACTAAGGTGACTCTCTACTCTCCTGCTATCTCCAATACCCATTTGTTTGCTGGAAGTAGAAATGAATACAGTTCAGGCTTATCTCCTTGACTTCAGTCACTAAATGCTGCTGATTTTTCCTTGGACTATCCTTTTCCAGTCTTCTGCTATCAACCTCATTTTGGCCCATATCTCCTTATATCTAAGGAGATTTTGACCCATATCTCCTTATATCTAAGGAGATATCTAAGCTTTCATTTATCCTAAGAAAGCTTCCTGGCTGTTCTCTCCCTGGCCTCAGGTTTCTCCTTACCTAATCTACTTCTCAAATCACTTGAGCACTCACTGGATATAGACACCATTGGAAATTCATACATATTTCAGGCGAGGTCTTAACCTCAAGGAATTTACAAATTAACACATAAGCTTCAGATCTCATGGTTTATAGTTGAAACAGTATCATTTTATTAAAACTTTTCCCCAAGTATGTCCTCCCAACACAACCAAATTTTAAATTCCTGGATAGTATGACACATGTTTGTATATGTCTTTGGAGCCCCTTCAACAAGCAGCACCAGGGTCCTCCATATGGCTAATCAATAAACATTTCTTCATTAATTGTTTAAGTAGGTTCCCAGAACTAATGCCTCTGAATTTATGCTAAGGTACAATAGACCCACAGTTGTATAAGAAATCCAAATACTGTTATTTATAAGGTGGCTTAAGAGCAGAAGTAATGCACTTATCTGGATCATTTTCTAAATGGGACTTAACAGGAATTCCACTTATTGAAAGTTGGTGGAAATATTCTAGTTTTCCTCCTTTTCCATCACATTTTAAAAATAAGTATATAAATTTTTGCATTCCCATAAAAATAAGAGGAAAATAATTCTCCCCATTTCATGTTTTCAGTGGTTGCTCACATCCCCATCAGCAGCATCATCGTTTGAAAATGAGTGTGATCTCTTTTAGTACATATTTATGTTAAAAAGAACTAGCATGGTATAAAAGCAAATCAATTTTTCCTCCCCTAGAATATGCCAAATTTAAATCAAACCTTGAAAGAAGACAACATAAATAAGCAAAAGAACTCTTTGGTAACTAAGTACATTTAATAGGAAAGTCAAACTCCTTATACATCCTTTATGGGTTCCATATCAGGTTAGGATTTGGACTAAAATGTTTATTCTGCTTTTGGTCCTATTAAAAAAAGCTCTGGCTTTAACAGACCAATTACCTTAGAAATGCAATTCTCCTTTCCTACCCCATTGCACCAAATAGATTAACAAGCATTCTCTAATGATAGTTTATTCATTTTTTCCAGTTAGAGTTTAAGTGTCAGACAGTAAATTGAATTAAGAATTCACATAACATATTTGTCAGCTTTCTTTGTTCTTCAACATACTTGAAACCTTCTGAATCTACTGTGCTGGCACCCACACAGGCTTATTAAACTGATTGTATTTAGTTAGGGGTAGGGATGAAGGTGAGGGAGGAGGCAGTACAATGAGGAGAGAGAAGTTGAACCTTTGAAAATAGTACATTTTAGTGTGATGATGGAGAGAAGAAAGAAGTGCAAATTAGTAATGTCAGTTCAGTTGCCATGGGTACAATAATGCACAAATCCAAAGTGCAGATTGGGAGCAAGTCTTGAGAAGAATTGTACTGCAGGACTGAGGGTGGGGATGGAGTAGCAGAAGAGGGCTAGACAGTGGGTGAGAGTGGCACTAGTGGCAATCTGCATAGGAGAGGGACCATAGTTGGAGAGGAGTGAGGAAAGCCCATCTTGTGGTGATATACTGGTTGAGGCTCCTCAACTCACTGTTGATTCTTGGCAAAATATTTGTTAATATTGCACTTGAGAACTGGGAAAAGCTTTTATGTAAAAATCAGTACAAATAAGAAATTATTGAATCCCTGAGGTTCTCCTCCTCAAACAGTGTAGGTTATTTCCAATACATCTGATGGTTGGTGGTATTGGTGGGGTTCGTAGCAGGAAAGCCCTGTGATGTGTGCGCTGTATTCATTTTGTAGAGCTAACAAGTTATTGGCTACATCCATGCACTGAGTCCAAGTACCACAACTGTCATGCCACTGACATGCTATTCCCACATTTTTGCCCATATTTAGACTCTATATATAACTAGAATGAACCAATGTGGAACTTCACTTCCAATCTTTCATTCCTCACTATGACAGTTCTGTGACTATAAGCCTGAAGGCACACTAGATAGCAATTTTGCACTGTCCCCAGGCCACTTCTTCCCAAGTAGAATGGCTGGAGATAAATAGGCAAGGTTTGGGTAACTGGTCAGGGTATCGGGAAAAGAAGCTTCCCTAGGAGACCGGGAATGTTGTAATCTTTATGGCAGGGATACTGTTAGCTTGAAAATCCAGAAAATGAGATGTCACGCATGGTGTCAACTACCTCAGACCCAGGTCCTCTCATCTCATTCCTAGCTCTTGGAACTAGCGGCTCTGGCGCATGCGCGCTGAGCCACACCCGATCCCCAGGGAGCCCTATGCCTCCCTGCCAGGTTCTGGCAGCCTTTGGGATTACTCAGCAACGCCTGCCCTCAGCCACCACCTACTCCTGAATCCCGACCACTGCAGTGCCGAGGTCCCTTTCTCAAGGGTAAGCGGCCCCAGAAATCACCTAGACCTCCCCTTCTCTGTCCTCTCCCAAAACCCCCACCTTTCAGCCTCCTCGGTGTCTGTGGTCCACCTCCCTCCCTGTTCACGCAGAGGCACCTTACCTGACACAATGGGACAGACAGAAGAGATATGAGGGCTCCAGGCAGTAAGCTTCAGGAGCCAGTAGCCCAGCTCCTCAGAGACACCGTCACTGCTCCCACTGCCTCCTTGTCCTCAGTGGGGCAGCAAGTGCAGCTTAGACCTCGCGGGCCTGACGGCTGCCGCTCGTGCCCGCGGCTGCCGCCGCTCAGCATCTCGGGCCCGCGCCTGCCAGGGGAGGGGGTGGGGCCCCCGCGCTGCCTCTTTGGGTCCCTTTCTTGGCTCTGGAGACCCAGCCTCCTGCCATTGCTGGTGCAGAGCACAACCTGGCTCACTCACTCTTCTTTTATGCTTAGTGTCCAACCCTGGTCTCCCCAGTCCTCTGCCCCTCCCCTCGGTAGGCATGGAGACAATGGACTGTCAAATGTTGCTCTCCCATTTTGTGCCTCTGCAGCCGGGGTCCACAGCCCCATTTCCTGCAACTGCCCTTCGATGTACCTCATTTACCTTACCGCCAAACCTTCTAATTTTGCCAAAAGTATAGCACACACATTTTCCTGTTTCAAATAGCTCAGGGAAATACATTACTAGCAAATACATTACACAGCACATTACTCGGCCCTCTAGCTCCCTACTGCTCATGAAATTCTCATGACGTCCCAAAAAGAAACGTTCACATATGTAATTCAGGCACAGAAGTCACAGCCTTTTACCCTTACCGTTAGCGTTCTGGAGGCCCACATAGAGAGCATTGCTAGAGGTTTCCGGAATTGTTGATGGAGTAGAATGAAACGTTCCAATTGTGCCCAGCCTCTCAGCCAGTACTTTTTTGTTGTCTCCTGTGGCCCTCTAGTGCATCCAAATTGTTTGTGATTTATTCTTTTCTGGAATCAAAGAAAGACAGAGTTCCTGTGGTTAGTCAGCCAGCACTCCATCTCTCTGTCAAGCAGATCTACTTGTGAATCTTCCCTGATATCTGAAGACCTGTGCCTCCATGGCACTGCCCCTCACTCACCATGTGCCCCCGAGGGCCCTCACACATGCCCTCCCTCCAAAACTACTCAGTCAGTGCCACAGGGCCCGGCTTAAATGTCACTTCCTCAGAGTAATCTTTCTCAATTACCCCTGAACAGAGGAAGTGCCCTGATTTATTCTCTTGCAGTCTTGTGTAGACTGCTGTGCTTTTCTACATAATACTTATACATTAATGATTAGGTATTTAAATGTATATTTTGATTGACAACTGCCTTCCTCCACTAAACTATATTGCATGCTAAAATCAAGGACTGTGACTGTCTAGATTCACTATCATATCCCCAGGGCCTAGGGCAATGCTTGTTACACAGGACATGCTCAGAAAATATTTGGTGAATATGATTGAATGTTTTATCATCAACAATTATTGTTCTTTAAAAATAAAATAAAGGGATCTAAATGAATCCTTTGTGCTCCTACTTAAACCAGTCCTCCACTTTCTCCACACTAAAACCCTCTTCTGATGGATATAGTCCTCTAAATCAATTTTTCACTCCCACATTCTTATCTATAATAACAGGAAACTTCTTGAGCATGGGCCCCATTATATGTATATGTATTTATAGAATATACACATATACTACTGTGCATATATACTTTATACATTACATTATATAATACATATACATTAAAACATTCCAACAGACCTTTTAAAAGAATGAAAAAAATATAAATGTATTTCAATGTTTTTTCTGCACTCCAATGAGTTGTTTAGTAAACTGCTCAAAAATAATAGTCCTTCATACTACAGTGTCTCATTTTTACGTGACTCTTAATCTCTTTTTTCCCTTTTCCCATAGATGGTATTTTTCAACAGTGTAATCATCTCTGAGAATCCTCCAAACTTACTTGCAAGTTTCAAGGTCCTTTTAATTTCTAGGTTTGAATACCCTCTTCTGTAGTCAGAAGCTTATAATTGCTGAAGAAATTACACATTTGCAGAATGTTCAAACCCTTAAGGGTAAACAAAATCCTATGTTAGCCCACATACTCTTAACTGCATATCCTATATTAAAAGTCTCTAAAGGCCACTTGAAAAGTAACTACTATCCAAATAGAATAGAAGCAACATACTCCCACTATTCCTTAGGAAAAACCACAAAAATGCATAGCTCAAAGTTTCAAAGTTGTAATTGGTTTTGTAGCTCTTGCACTGTCAAACCATGTCTTCCACGAATAATGCTTCCATGTATAAGGAAATAATATAATCCTGTTTTTTTATAACACAGTTCCACAAACATACAAAAACACATACCACTTTTATCATACTGTGGTCAGAGATAGGAGGCTAAGCCAAGATTGCCTTTAAATAACTGGAGAAAAGGTTACCTTTGGAGAATGACACACATGCAAAAGAAAGCATTCAATGTATAATATTCATTATTTTGAAGAGTCCTCAATTATGATTCAATTTTTAAATACATTGACTTGGGCTTCAAGAACATATAATTGAAATGTGATGACTATAAAAGAAAAGCCTAATTCAGTGTTAAAAAGATCGTTATGAACAAAAGACTGCTGGCTGGTGTGACTCAGAGGATTGAGTTCTGGTGTATGAACCAAAGGGTCACTGGTTTGATTCCCAGTCAGGGCACATGCCTGAGTTGTGGGCCAGGTCCCCAGTAGGGGGAACGCAAGAGACAACCAAACTTTGATGTTTCTCTCCCTCTTTTTCTCCCTTCCCCCCCCTAAAAATAAATAAATACAATCTAAATAAAAGAGACCCATGAAGAGATCCAAATAAATTCATAAACGCTGCATACTATTTCCCTTCCTGGAGAGTCATAATGCATAATAGAACATTAAAACATCTTTTGTTTATGGAATACCTGTTAACAGGATTCAGACACTTCAGAACTCAATTTGGTAGTTGCTCTCTTAATCAATTGTAAAAAGTGGTAATGTGAGAATAGGACATTGGTTTGCCTTGGACGTGGATGGCAATAGATGTCTTCTTGCTTGGCAACTCATACAGACTTGTAGTGGTTTCTTGGAGAACTGTACTCTGGAGGATTCCAAGGTGCAACAAACTCAGTAGAGAAGAGTGATTAGTTAGTGATGACTACCATAAATAAGGCAATGTGTTTGCTGTCCTTGGCCTAAAGTATTCATATGGCAACTATACACTTCATATTTTCCAGATAGTTCTGATTTCAAATGTTGTTCTGATGGAGCCACATTTACAGTAATAATTATAGGACTATCTGATATTTTATTCAGAAAATATAGTAACCATATATATGTAAAAAGGAAATTGGGTAGTAAGAATTTGTCAGTCTTCATGCCCTCACTGGTGTAGACCAGTGGATTGAGCGTTGGCCTGCAAACCAAGAGTTACCAGTTCAATTCCCAGTCAGGGCACATGCCTGGGTTGTGGCCAGGTCCCCAGTGAGGGGTGCACAGGAGGCAACCACACATTGATGTTTATCTGTCTTTCTTTCTCCTTCCCTTCCCTTCTCTCTAAAAGTATGTAAATAAAATCCTTTAAAAAAAGTGTCAGTCTTCACCAATCATTCTCCAAAAGCAACTAACTGGTTCTGGTGACACAATAACTTTGTCCCTTGATATGTGGATAATCTTTGCAATAAGGATACTTTGCAAATTTTTCCATAGCCTGAAGGAAAGATCTCTGAAGATCACACAATTATTGAAAGCATCAGTATAAACTCAGTTTTATTATTTTAAATACATGTATTTTTTAGATGGAGGCAGAGGCAGAAACACTATACCTCCTCAAACAACCAAGTTTAAACACAACAAAGTTTTAGTAACAAAAACGCAGCCAAAACACAGAAAATTAAACTATGGAAGTCCCACAGCCACAAACCATTTATCCAGACTGGTAAGAGGGGTGAGTCAGCGGCTGGCAAGGTGGGATCAGGCAGGAAAAAATTGGCCAGACCGACCCAGGTGCTCAGGCAGCTGTTGGCAGATCCCAGGTGTGGGGTGGCAACGGGCAGACCCAGTGAGGGTGCAAGGTGGTTGGCTGACCATCGTCACACATTCACATGCAGATAAACCAAGCAAAGGAGCGAGCAGTGAGACAGACCTCCTAGGCTAGGGTCCCAGCACCGGGAATTAAAGCCTAAAAGCACCAATTGGAAAAAATTTCCGGGTTGAGGTTCTGGGAGAAGCTCCCAGGCTCAGAGAGTGTTTGTTGGAGAGACCCAAAGGGTCCTGGAGGGTGCACAGGCCCACACACCTGGGAGCTGGCACCAGGGGGCCAATTTGCTTACAGGAAGCAGCAGAGGGGACCGAAATCCGAGAGAGAGTGGAACAAACAACATTGCCCCTCTCTGACCCTGCTCCCACATACAGTATCACAACCCAGCAACTGGGTCGCCTCACCCTGGTGAATACCTAAGGATCTGCCCCGCGTACAAAACAGGTATGAACAGACCAAAACATTATGGCTTAAGAAAAGCTCAAAGCCCCAGAGCCAATACTTCTAAGTGACAAAGAGAGAGCCAACCTATTAGATGCACAGTTCAAAACACTGGTGATCAGGATGCTCACAGAACTGGTTGATTTTAGTCACAAATTAGAGGAACAAATGAAGGCTAAACTAATTGAAATGAAGGGAAATGCACAGGAAACCGATAGTGATGGAAAGGAAACTGAGTCTCAAATCAACGGAGTGGATAAGAAGCAAGAAAAAAAATGACCAAACAGAAAAGAATGAAGAAACAAGAATTCATAAAAATGAGGAGAGACTTAGGAACCTCCAGGACATCTTTAAAGGCTCCAACATCCGAATTATAGGGGTACCAGAAGGGGGAAAGGCACAGCCACCAGTGGAAAACTTATTTGAACAAATAATAAAGGAGAATTTCCCCAATCCAGCAAAGGAAATAGACTTCCAGGAAGTCCAGGAAGCTCAGAGAGTCCCACAGAAGTTGGACCCAAGAAGGAACACACCAAAGCACATAATTATATTAGCCAAGATTCAAATGAAGGAGAGAATCCTAGAAGCAGCAAGAGCTAAGGGGACAGTCACCTACAAAGGAGTTCCCATCAGACTGTCAGCGGATTTCTCAAAAGAGACCTTACAGGCAAGAAGGGGCTGGAAAGAAGTATTCCAAGTCATGAAATCCAAAGACCTACATCCAAGATTGTTCTACCCAGCAAAGCTTTCATTTAGAA